CAGAAATTATAAGGCGTTGTAAAAGACACTCTTGACATATGCCCGAAGTATTTAAAAGATAGCGATGAGTTAATAAACGACGCTGAATTCCTTTATGTTACCGATTGCATCCGCGAATACGCAGATTTTTAAAACGCGAAAAATGAAGCCGTGAATAAGAACCTTCCACTGTACTGGACCGTTTGAAAGTATTATTATTATGAGAAATCTTTGAGAAAGAGTGTGGTTAATTAGAAATTGGGATAACTATTTTTTTTTATCTCCATCAGGTAGACTTGAAAAATATTAAACATCTTAGGGTAATCATTTAATTGTGGTGATAATATAGTTGATATATCGCTTGACGTCACGCTTTTGTACATTTTCTACAAAACTGTGACGTAGCGAGCCCCCAGCCGCTGCGGCGATAGTACAGACAGCGGGATGTTACTTTGTTTTATACTTTGTATAGATAACTTTTTACACGATGTTCCATGGCGTACAATCGTATACTTCCGAGATACACTCCACGGATTTTCCGTCAGAATTGCACCTAACCTTAAAAGGGGGCATAAAGCCAAAAGACTGTCCCTGTCAATCGTATTGCGTCCGGCAAAGACGTCCAAACATGTGGCGAATTGTACGGGTAAAAAAGGGTTTATAACTAATTGCTTCGAAATCATTAACGATTTATTATTGTAAAATTGCTACGACTACAAAGCGTAAAAATATTCTTTGAAAATAATTTAATAAAATACACATGCTATCTATTTATAGCAATGAGGAGGTATTTTAAGAAAAAAAGAACCCCAAAAAAGCACCTCACTAGATGGACTCTACAAAAGTTGATTTTTGGAGGAAAGGAATGGACCAAAGATGGTCATTTCCGTGCCTAACATATTAAAAAACTGAAATTAGCAAAGTTCGAAACTTAGATATCAATACAAATACGAAAATGTACAAATAAAATATGAGTTATTGAGTTTTGAAAACTAATTTACTTTCATACATGAAAGAAAACCGGAAGGGTTGTCATGGAGAAATCGAAAGTACCGTAACGGCATCTTTTTTTAAATACTCATTCATTGCACTTATCATCGGGCGAGTCTTGTCTACCTTAAATAAATGAGTAGTGAAAGAGGTCTTCATTGTTTCCGCAGTCTTACTAATAATTAGTAATCAATATTGAATTAAGTCCGATTACTTTTCAAGAAATACGAATTCATATTTTCCCTTGGGGAGTTCAGGAACAATAAATGACCAACGGATTATTTTGTATTGTCGCAGCTCATTCGACGCGTTGAAGAAGTCTCTGGTGGGAGTACAGAAGTACATACAAGCCACCGATCTCTCGGAGGCTTCGCAGGAAGCTGTGGAGGAGAAGCTGCGAGCTACCGACCGCCAATAATATTATTATATAAATATATAACAACACAGCCGCGCACCGCGCTGCCGCATCACGACACGGCACAGCTTTATGCGTTCCAAAATCAAACCGCATTTATTTATAAAAAAGATTCTATATTCCATGATTACAGTTTATTATTCTATTTTTGAATGTGTTCACCTCTTTGAATTTATTTGAATGGGGAGATCCAATTCTTTGTCAATGTATTTTTTTATCCTTCAAAGAGTGATTGTGACCTCTTTTGAATTTAATATTTTTTTTTAAATAGAGAACGAGTGTACAGGCGTGATCGTGTAGAATTCTTTTTTTTTAATTGGTGGCTGTGTAATAGTGTCCTATCGCTAGCGGTGAGACAGCCCGGTGCGCCCCGCACAATCGCATAGGTTCATACATTGTATCGTTCGATCCTTAGCTTCAGTCGACGAAGGTCGTCCGAATCCTGTACAGATTTGTAGAACTGTATCCAGGCGACACGACATAGCGATTAAGGGATTCTTATATAATAATTTAAATTATACTAATTATATCTATATTTTTTTTTCCTATAAAATAACTAAAGAGTAAGTTAAGCTCAAACTAAATTTAAAACACAGTGGCGCGAACGCGTTGCGTTTTGTTTTCATTTTTTAATATATATAAATAAATACAGGAAAGTGAGCGCCGGCCGGCTTTTTATACTGTTTAGAATGTAATATAAAAATGGTACGGTTTTATACAATCGCCTAGTTCTTTCGTTTGAGTCTTCGACTTGCTAACGTTGTAAGCTTTGTACCACGCGATGGCATATGTTGAATAAGTATTTTATACCCAATATTCTGAAATACACTCGGTATAAGTAAACATCGATTGTTTTATTTTATTCTTAATTTTTATGTAACACTGATTAATGTGGTTCACGAGTGACTGTCTAATCTCTATTTATCTATACGATAAATAGTTTTGGGAATAAGGTAGAAACATGGTAGCAGCAGAATTTTCTCCGAAATGAGTTAAAGTAACCCTGCCACGGCTATTACAGCTAATTAATAAAGAAAAACACAATTTTAGCCGACGTGAACTATGTTAGTGTCCCATCCATAGATTGTGGATTAAATTTAATCCACCAAGCACGATTTTTTACTTAAAGCAATAAACTGACCTCTTATTTGTATTACAAAGAGAGATCACCCTAAATTTTCAAAATGCGGCTATTTTATTTGGAAAAAATAACTAATTTAATGAATGCCGCCAGCTGCTGTTTTTTGCAACTAAAACCATGATTAGGTTTAATGGAAGTAAAATTTGGTACTCTCACAAGACTTTCCTCATATAATTCGAGAATTTATCTGTAGGTAATTGCAATAGGTGCAAAATAAAAGAACCTTTCCATTTAAAACATTTATTAAAACTTTTTAACAATATTGCTATCACACTATGAGTTATTGGTTTATGAGAACTATGAAAAAGATATCTACCCGAGAAGAGAAGCAGGAATCGGCAATTCTGCTCAATTAAGGCTATGTGAAATAATGTTGAAAATATCTTGCAAATTTGAAAAGCAGTATCTAATAGTATATTCAAATATTTTAGCATACTTTATATTTGAACAGTTTAAGTAAACGAATCGGACTATTTGTAGAAAAAATGACAAAAATATTCTTTTTACACGAGTTCGATAATCGCTTTAGCGAGCAAATGTGTTATAATCAGAATGCTGTATAATGCTAAATTTTATTATTATGTAAACGCCAAAACGAATGTAGGTATTTAAAATAATATCGATAATCCTATTATTTTTTTCTCTAGTAAAACTTCTCTTCATATAAAAAATTAGACACATCTGGAATTTTGTGCACGTGTTTTCTTTTTAAAATATTATTATAAAGCTGTTTTGTATAGTTTAAAAACGATTTCTACAGAAGTACAGTCAAAGAGACAAAAAGTTTAAAATTTGTATTCTACCCGCTATATTATTTATTATATAATAACGTTTTTGTTTATAGTTATTCTTAACATTAAAATCACAATTGAAAAGTAGTATTTTTTTATTATTGTGGAAGATATGTAAACATGTTTTTCAAATTTTACTTTTTTTAAGAATATATGTGGTTTATTTTTTGAGTGCAAACGGCTGCTTCTGTGTTTGTTGTCGACTTTACTCTAATACAAAGATAATAATGTTCAGAATTAGATAAATTTTATAGATAAATATTTGTAGTCCAATTGCTAATTCTTGTTTTCTGCCATATTAAAATCATGCGTAGTGCAAGTACCAAGTTTAGGCCTATCTCAAACAAAAGTAAACTTACACACTAACATTTCTGTCCGAAGACATTATTTATATGTAATCTGAAGACATCAGTTTTTCAAAATCTTGTCATCGAAACGTTATTTCTTACTTACTCTAATAAAAGTCGAAATGTAATGTAGGTACACTCGTAGAAGTTTGCGTTCGTTCACATAGACACATGAAGTAAGAAAAACTTGTTACAAATATAGATAGAGAGTAACAGATGGCAACTTATAATCGCCTAGATGGTATGAATGCAAACTTACGATTATACTAATATCATACAGCTGGATCCACCAAAAAGAGTACAGAGTTGTTTTTCCGGAAAGGACAAACCATATTGGTAATTTATCTTATCTGACCTGCCTGCCCACCCAATTATCTCCATCTAATTTCGCTCCGTGCAGTGGCGTAGCGTGGGTGTCTGCTGCCCGGGGCGGAAGACAATTTTGCTGCCCCTCTTAATTAAGTATTTTATATAATTATACTATATAGATATTATACATATACATCAATTTTAAAGAATTTTTCGGCAAGAACTGTCATCATAATTTTGCTTTAAGTATAGTTGTGGTATAGTGGTTCGATCCCCACAAAGTGCAGTTTTTGATGTGATTTACAAATAATTGTTCTTAGTCTGGGTGTACTTTGTTCCTCGCAACACAGGACTTGTAGCTTATAAAGCGGGCTTGTCTTTTAAAAAACAAAAAAGATTTGAAATAAACAAATATATGAACTAAACAACTGAAGATCCATGAATAAAACTTTCTTTGAATTGTCTAAGCATCACGTTCTTTCTTAAAGGGACGTAATAAGCAACACTGAGCTTAACATATATGAAAAAGAAATAATTATGCCGATTATAAGTCATAAACAATCCAAGCACAAAATAAAATACGGAGAATCTCCGTAAGTCAGTATAGATGGTGTTCCATTCGCTACAAAATATCATTTAAAAAAAGATTATTCTCCGAATTTGTCACAAAATAAGTAATTAAAAATTTCGTGCTCTTTTCATTTGGTCCGAATTTATAGTTGCGTTAAAAATATGAATTGGTACAAATATTTAAAAAAAAATTACTGTGTAATTTTGCCGCCCCCTAACAAGTGCCGCCCAGGGCGGGCTGCCCTCCGCCCTCACTATGCTACGCCACTAACTCCGTGCTTATCACTTATCTGTCGGCAATACCTTAATGCCCTTGACATACCTACTTTTCGTTTTGCCGAAAATGTTGAAAATACCCATCAAGTTTAAAACATCACGCAATAGGTATAAATTTCCCTTTCAGGCGAAAATATTACTGGTATTACCCGCGCCTAGATAATTTTGTCTCGTATCGGCATTTAGATGCTGATTGTGCTTATGGTGTCTGCGGGAGCTGGAGTCACATTCGGCTGTTGTATTGCTGGATCCAATAGCGGGATGCTGTCAGTTGTCCTGGTAAAAATACCATACGTATATTACGATGACAAAAAAAAATGCGTGCTTAGCTTAATATGCCATTTAAAAAATATAAACCGAGTAAATTTTTGCCTAACATGGTAGATTATATCGAGTGTTGCCAATAAGCAAGTTTATTACATTACGGTATTTAATAAGCTAGTTGACAGGTTTTTAATTATAAATAGTCCATTAATATCTTAGAAATAATGTAGAAGTAACAGCATGTCTGCAATTAATAGTTTTAGAGATAATTATGGTGCTTTGTTTATGGAACTGCTGCTAGTCGGCCGAAAACGGTCCCTACAAATTCAACGCGCTAAGTGACGTCTTACGGTGCTACGATATACGGCGAAAAATGCCTGAGCAATGTTTGTAATATCTTTGTTATTTTTGCTTATGTTTTTAGTTATAAGAATGAAAGTTGCAACGTTTTATGTAACTAATTTAAAGCCATATGTATTTTAGCAAATTTTTGTAGTATGTTTTCCCTACTTTTTTCAAATTTTCGAGGTAATATTTTCCAAATTACTGCCACATAATTTGTTTTGTTAAATATTTATAAGTTAAAATGATTAATATATTCCGAACATATAACAGAAACCTGTATTATTTGTTCCGTTCGATATCCGGAATCCATCTAGAGTCAAGCATCATCCTTTTTGTGACGTTTCCGGTCCAAAACACTACCTCCCCTCTTAGTTCCGGCGCCTGTGCTGCCATCTAGTTTGCGGGTAGCGAACCAATGACTTTTAGGCACGAACGCTTACCGTCATTATAGCGTCGTTTTTCGTGGCGAAAACATCGGTCCTACATAAAATGTGCACAAATTATACTTATTATTATATAGTTTAGTGTTAAAATTAAAATGAAATGAATATAAAATTAACCTCCCTTCGCGATGGAGCAACGGGACAGCGAAATAAACAAAGAAAACAGCATTGAAGCAGGCGTATTTATTGTCTTCGAGCTCATCGAACAGTGTCGTCGGATTCCAGCTCTGAGAGAGCAAGTAAGGTACAGAGGCGAGAAAAACTGTAAGTGATTTGCATTCGATTTGTTACCCCAACCAGTGATATTTTTTGATAATGCATGATAAAAACTGGAAAACTTAATCCACCTGTGCATTTTTCCATAACAAAATAGCACATAGTATCCATACCAGGACCGCAATTATGGCAACTACAGCCACCATCACGTTCCCTACGACCCCACGGTCCTGAACAGTTCCTACTTGCAGCGGTTACGACTGGTGATAATTTTCTTTATGTACCTACTATAGTAAAACAATCAACACAAGTTCAAATAGGATTTTTTTTTTCTTAATAACGTTAAAAACCCAGTCTATGGTGAAACCAAATTAGATGAAACATTCTCAAATTAAATTATAAGTTGAGGCGATTTGTTTCTGCTACAACAATTGATGATTTAAGATAAGATCTTTATTTGCGAGAATAAAAGTCATTATAGTTATATTTTATAGAAATGGTTCAGTCTACAGCATTAACAAATACCTTAACAGAATTAAAGTATGAATCAATTAGTTTAGAACTAGTTTACAACAAATTGTAGATTGATCTATTGCTAAAGACCTTAATGCTAAAGAGCTTTTTGATAAAATCTAATCAACATTCAACAAGGATTATTTTTTCCAAATATTAAGTGGCAGACGCACTGATGTGTTCAGAGCCGTGGAGAAGTTTCTGAGGTGCCTTTACAGAAATTTTTGCCAAATTCAGAGTTCAAAGTCAAAGTCAAAATAATATTTATTCAAATAGACTTCTCTTTTGGAATCGTCCAAAAATTTTTCCCCACCACTCGTTCAAGACGTCTTTTGGCTGATAGGAAGAACGAACAAGTTCTTCTTTGATAATAGTATATTGCACCCAAAAAACAAGGGGGTGCATAAAATGGTTGCAACTGCAAGTTGATTCAAGGTAGATTACCAGAAGTACACACCAATATTTAAATGGTAATGAGACCTGTTCATTAAACTTTAGAAATAAATACAATGCATGACATGACACATTGGAAGGGGCTATCTAATGCGATCTGTAAGTTTATGGAACAATCAGGATATTCCAGATTGCATATGTCGGATCTTGGGCGAGTGGCTCACCAGTTCCAAGGTGTCACCATTTCTGAGCTTCCGCATTCCACTCTCGGTCATGTTAATGCAGATAATGAGCTTTTCTATATTGTCTCTGGTCTGGGTGTTGTTACCTTCGCTGTTTCAGATTTCCATAATACAAGTGTTTAACTATATCATTTGGTATCTAAACTATGTAGGTATGTGATGGTATAAAAATTATATTTTTATGCGTGGGATTTTAAGCCATCTTCAAATATCGTTTGCAATGCTCAAATTAATATACTAGAGATTACAAAAAATACCCTGTTTTGTATCATTTCCTCTTCTAATGTTAAAGCCGACAATTTCATTTAAAACGACACTGATTAGTCAAAATAAAACCTTTTCGACTGATCAATAATTTTCGTATTCCGAACATTCTCATACAAAACGAATGGTTTACGAAAATATATCCGAGCCAAAAGTATTTTCATTTGAGTATCGCCGAACAACATCTGGTTCACAGGTTCTTGAGACTGGCATACAACAACCTACCCAATGCAACTAACGTGTCTCTTTGGACTGCCATCGGTACTCAAAAACTTTGCTGCCTAGACCAACAAAACAACTGCGCTACCACAATAGCAGCGCTTAGGGTGGTCTCTCAACTTCGAGCAGTGTGTGCTGGTTCTGAGCTTCCTCGGCGTTGCCTGGTGCATCGTGACCAACACGGTCACGAGGTGCCGGGAAGTGCCGGGGAAGTCAGGGGTAAGTCCCTGTCGGAACCGAAGTGCCTTACGCTACGCATGGCACTTCAGCACGAGGCGACTACACGTGGCGGTTAGTCCCTCAGACAGGCCCAGTTCCTAATGGGGAGACTCGACTTTGCCTCGTTTGTGATTCGAAGAGGGTGATTACACTGTCGCACACTGCAATACTACCATCGACAGTTGCCCAAAGATCACCATTACCACCGAATCAAACTACCAGACTCAGTACAGAACATTCAGCGAAGTCACTGTTTGAACCGAACGCTTCACGCTACGCTTGGCATTTCAGCATCAGATTGTACAAGGCAGTTAGTCCCTCATACAGGCCCAGTTCCTAATGAGGAGACTCTACTTTGCCTCGTTTGTGATTCGAAGAGGGTGACTAAACGATCGCACACTGCAATACTACTATCGACAGTTGCCCAAAGATCACCATTACCACCGAATCAAACTACCAGACTCAGTACTGAACATTTAGTGAAGTCCCTGTTTGAACCGAACGCTTCACGCTACGCATGGCACTTTAGCATCAGATCGTACAAGGCGGTTAGTCCCTCAGACAGGCCCAGTTCCTAATGGGGAGACTCGATTTTGCCTCGTTTGTGATTCGAACAGGGTGATAACACTGTCGCACACTGCAATACTAACATCGACATCTTTAAACTATTACTACCTATTCGGATTACCAGACCCAGTACTGAATGACTTAAAATGGTAAGTAATATGATACCTTCCAATAAATGCAACGCAAATCGCTCAACATCCGAGGACAGGTGCATAGGAAATCTGTTCGAGTGCTCAACTCGAGGCAATTACTCACGCGAGTCTTCATTTCGCGGAATGCCTAGATGTAAATGCTAAGAGAACTGTACTGATTCCCGTACATAAACAAAGATGGGGGACCAAATCTAGGAAATTATTGTAATTATGACACGACCAAGGCAGATTCAGAAATTATGTATAGCCGGAATACTAAATCTAGCAGCCTAATGTACACCAGATGTGAACTTATTCCATCGGCAAAAGCACACGTCATTCCCAGGTTCATGACAATGGATGTGACGGACGAGCAAGCTAATAGGTCATAACGCATGACGTCATCAGTGCAAATGCAAGCTGGCCTTATTCAAACATGATTCCGCAAATACTTTCTGGACTCCAGTAAGCATCAAGGCAAGTAAGTACATTATGATTGTTCCAAAATGGGACAAGTGTCTAGGCTGACGATTTGTTTCCGCAAATACTGCAATATGTATGGCAACAGGTGTTCATCCCCCGAAATTCAGAAAATTTATTTAAAAGTCGGGCAGAATAAAATAAAATAAAGAAAATCTTGAAACTATCGATTTAATGTAAAGCGACTATAAATATCTACTAGTATTCATTCTGCAAATAACAAGTGCCCGGTAGGGAAATTCTGCTAATGTCGGCGTAATGGTGGAGGGTCAATAGCGCTTCAACTACAACCCTTTATGACAGATTCTTGTTACTAGATCATAAAATAATAAATATATCTGTCAATATTGAATTGTTAGGAAGACAAAGCACTAATAATATTAGACTTCAGGTATATAGTACAATGGAAATATTACGTAGAAATCGGCAGAATTGACTCTATTTAAGTTGCTGGAAATTTAGCATAATTTCACAATCTTCAAGGTCGCAGAATCCATTATTTAACCCTTTTAACCTTTGAAGTATAGGGACGAAAATGAATTTTTGTCTTATGGCCCCATTTTGTATTAAAAACAGATAATAGTTATTATGACAGCCTGGATAGAAATGATTAACTGACACAAATCATTCGATTGCATGTATTGGTCACGCGATTAATTTTTGTATTAAAAGAGCCCCAAAAAGAAGTAATTTTCACGAGTTAACTACTCTGTTCTCAAAAATGCTAAATAGAAGCACATAATGTAGAAGATTCTTCAGGGTCTATTACATCTGCAGTTCCATCTCTAAATTGACTGGAACTGTTTCCGATGGATAAATTACTGAAACTGTAAACTGGCGCCAAGAACATACTTTTAGGAAGTCCTATCGAAAACTGATAAATCGGACAATCAAGAAAATTCCGATATCTATGTATTTACATTTTTATTATTCCATTCAATTCATTAATGATATTGACGGATAACAGATAAGCCAATATTTATTTAGCTTAGATTACCGAAACTCTTGAATAATTATTATAATTGCATTGATATGTAACAGCATAATATATGTACTATGAATGTAACAGCATAATATACTTATAATATGCATTATTTTTTCTCATCAGACTACATTTGACTTTTTATACCTGCAACACATTATAGCGTCACTAATGGCACTCACCAGGAGATAACAAACACATCACTCAAGATGGATTCCGGATATCGAACGGAACAAATAATAGAGAGTTTTAACTACCAATAAAACTTACCTATTATTTTTCCTAAAGATATCCGGAATCCAGGTAAGTTCTACCTGGTGCATCTAGAGTAGGTATAATGACGGTAAGCGTTCGTGCCTAAAAGTCATTGGTTCGCTACCCGCAAACTAGATGGCAGCACAGGCGCCGGAAGTAAGAGGGGAGGTAGTGTTTTGGACCGGAAACGTCACAAAAAGGATGATGCTTGACTCTAGATGGATTCCGGATATCTTTAGGAAAAATAATAGGTAAGTTTTATTGGTAGTTAAAACTCTCTATTTTCACTTGTAGGGCACAAACAATAGGTGGTAATGAATATGAGATAAGTAATAAAATTACCTTGTCCTAGTAAGAGTCGGTTCTGTTATTACTTCTTCGCAGCACGGAGTCTGCAAATTTTTGTTTCTTACTATTGGCAAGGTGGTACATATCGTCGCAGTTAGATAGACGTACTGAAAATTTGTTTACTCTTATCAGTAATGCGTTTACTTAATATCTAATGAAGTAGTTACTTTCAATTAATATAACATCTGTAAGTATGTTAACTGTTTCAGTTAAAATATTTGGTATTCATATTTAAACCCTGTTAATATACTAAATGTGTGGTATGCACGTGACATACAAATACCCGTCAGAACATCAGTTTAGTGATATAACGACAGAATACTGATTCACTAATCAACTGATTTTATTTTCATTCATAATTCATATTTTTATTTATTCTTTCATTAATATCTTACAACTGTTTCGGGTATCATTAAAATTTAATTCGATCAACACTTACCATAGCCACAACTAGTATCAAATATATTGTGGGCGTAGACCAATGGGCGGCATTCTCAATAGCCACTACACCCATCACCCAGTTGATTGCGAAAAATGGTTCCAGTACCAAACACAAGTTCAAGTATGTCTTTAACTCATTGCCTTCAGTGTTCCAGCTCCATTTCCATGACAGATTATCCATATAAAGCATATTGAGTATTCCTTTGTCTTGGATCGTTTTAGCATGAGTCGACTGGAAAATAAGCGAAATTAATTTATTTTATTGTATTAGTTATAGGAAAACAAGTACGAGTACATCAGCAAAGTTATCTAATTTTTATTACACTATACTGCTTTGTTAATTTATCTTTATAGGGTAGGTATCTTCGTTTGCACTAAAGTCCGAATAATTCACGTTCTTTCTTTGAATATTAATAGCATCTATGTTTGATTTACCATAAAAATGAAAAAAGAAATCTAAATTTATAGTGCAAAAAATGATCAAACTCTTACCTCATTACCTTCGCCATTCTGGCAGTCATCTTCACCGTAATTATATTCCTTGTCCAATGTATCCGAACTATCGGTATTTTTCCTGCTACTGCTAGGAGAGTAAATGTCCAATGTATCATTACTGCCTTTGTTATTTTCAATCATTGTCTCAATCGGTTCATTCTTAGGCCAATTTGCTATGTGATGATCGACCAGCTCTTGTATTTTTGCAGTTAACATTTCAGCTTGTTTTTTATTAACACTTTGCAAGCCTAGAATAATGATCGCTGTATTGATGACGATCAAAATCATAGCTGGCACCATGAAGCCCATTACCATTCCTTTTTCGATTGACATCCAGCAGTAATGCTTTATCTCATAATGTTCCATCGATAAAGCGTAATTGAACTGAAAGATAATTATTTATGAAATCGCATATATTTTGCACGATCCGCAAAGTCGTTTATTTTACGAATCTTATCTATATAATGTCATAATTATTACCATGACTACCAAAGCTGGTACTCCATAAGCTAACAGGTAGTTATACTTCAAAGGTAGCAGTGTATCACAAGCACAATATTCGGCTACCGCCGCCGCCAGCGCCACGATCCACATGGCACATGATACGTGTGTGTAGTGTAGCAAAAGGGCAATACGTTCACATTGTGATGGTGACGAAACTCCCTAGGATTTGATAGTCAGTGAGTGCTTTTCATAAAATATTATTATTGTTTAGATATAAGTATAAAGTTTTAACGAAAAATCTTATTTACCACAACAGCCTGTATATAAATAAGTGTACATGCGATGAGGCAGCAACATAAATTTATATTAATCGGATAAAGTTTGCTATTACGACGAAACTCTGCTGCGTACTCGCTCCACATTAGCCACATGACTGCCGATATCAGCATGATGACTGCTATTCCGCAAGTTATGAATATCTGTCGAAAGAAATAGATAACATGGGTATTAAAAATTTATTTCGTTTCTGTAAAAAACACGTCAGGCTATACAAAACTGACAAATGTCTGCATGGATTTTAAACTTTAATATTTTTAGTGAAGAGTACAAAATCAAATGCGGAAATTTGAATATTCTGGTAACCTTACGTGTTTACAGTGCCGGATCTAGGGGAGGAGATAAGAGGGGTTGCTTCCCCCCTCCTCAACGCCAGTGTCAGAGGGACGTCAAAATATTAATATAAAACAGTTAAAAATAATTAAATATGGCGTGGGTGGGTGTGGTGAGTAAGGACACAATATCAAGTTTCTGCCCCAGTTGGAAAAAATGTTGGCTGCATGTATGTATATATTAAAAGCTTGACCTGTTACATACTCAAGATATATATATTTCTTCTAAAAGGAATCACAAACTTAAAGGTTAATGAAAATGCTAATTAAAGGTAAACCTTAATCATATCTCACCAGTATCATCCATTCATTCCTGACGCCATGGCAATTGTTAAAACCGTACAAATAGGTGACACTGTCGATTATGTTGTGCTCTTTAAGATCTGCATCTGCTAATGAGTCGTCTGGCAAATCGATTTCTGAATCAGGTGGTTTATTTTCCGTTTTGCTGATAACTATAAAATATTAAAATTTAATTTGAATTTACGTTTTATGTAACAGTGACAGACCTCAGCATATTTAATATTTGTCACAGAAAGCAAAATGTTACTGTTAGCACACTACAAGTGTTCTTTGCCATAAGAGTCGTCTGGAAGAAGATCGCTCTTAACGATAAGACCTCCTTTGCTCACACTAGAGTTAAAAAATCTGATGATTACTTTCTTATCTGCGTGAGCAATAAAGAGTTATATCTATCTATCTATATGATGATCTTGTAGCAATATTGCAAAGCAAATAAGAAACCTTATTTCCCATGTTTTTATGGTCGTTCATTCATTACAAGTTACCACTAGTATTTATGTTAGTTGAGCTGTATAGCTTCACAATATATATTATGCTTTATACATATAATGAGCTCGAAATATGAAGCTAAGACATGAAAGACTGAAGAGCATTGGAGTCATGAAATGATAATGGTATTTTAACATGGTTTGTTACACATAATTAATTTTATGTAATAAATACTAATTTATTGTTGTTTTTACATATTTATCAATAGCTTTTAGGAACTGTTACCGTTATTCAGTCTCCATTTATTTGTTTGTCAATCACTATAAAATATACAGTAAGAGGCTAATTAAACAATAATTTTATAATTTATTAACAGTTATCTGCGACTTTATGTCGTTATATTTATATCAGGTCAGTATATATATCAGATATGGACCTACGAATTATTTTACCAAATTTGATCTCCTGGTTTTTAACATTTCGGAAATTGTAAGTCATTATGGTAATAAATATAGACAAAACTGACCTTCATTAGTCCGTGCCACAAATTCTGGATTAGGATACAATGGTGGGATATCATCGTATATGGAAGAAGTAAAGTTGGAAACGACACCACCATACTCCGAATCATACGATGTAATATCGTAATCAGGTCTGTCGTCAGCTCGGGGATATGAACTTTTATGATATTTTACAGAAACTGGTTGAAAAGACCGATAGGAAGACAGGATCTTATTCTTAAAGAAATCATCAACATTCGCTCTGCGCACATGATGTGCACTTTTATTTTGTTTGAAGCCTGTAAAAGAAACTATTTCTGAAGTAGTATCAACTCAAAAACAAAAATATAGCTAGCACTTATCATTAGCTACTTACCACTGGATTCGACTATAAAACATTTTTGATCTAAAAGAAGTATAAACAATAAAACTTTCCAAATATTAGTGCACATTTCGTTTTTTTTATATAGCTAAACAGTATTAATTTTTTTTATCAGGATTGCTTAAATATTTACACATCTTGTCAATCTTAGAGTTATTAAAAAAATAGGATCTTATGTTTGTTTGCACTCTAACTAAGTCGAGAATTCATCGCACTTACTTTTCCGCGGAAAATCAATATTATAACGCGTTTCGTTTCAAGTAGAAAATTATAGGAAAAAATTGAATACCTTTTGAAAGAGTTCTTCTCCTTCAAAAGCATATTTGAGCCCATAAACAGTTTCATCAATAAAATAGAAAGAAAATAACAGTTATAGAACCCTCTTTAGTAAATTAATTAAATGTAAAAAAATGGAGGTGCATAGTAGAAAACGAAATAATACAAAATAGCTTGGCAACATATAATAGAAGTGTCAGATGCACATGTTTGACAGCTGTCTGTCAAGTTTTGCATCAATCTCAAAACGCAATAGTTTTTTGCAATGTAACCAGAAATAGATTCAAAATGAGTGCAATATTAAAATTTATCCGCGAAAACCACATATTGGCTCTTATAGAACAGACCATTGCCAAAAAGAAGTCGCGTTTGAGTCTGAACGCCTACGAAATCACAGAAATACCGGGCCTTCTGTACACCTGTCTGGAAGTAGAACATCTGTATTTACATAGAAACAAAATTACCAATGTTCCAGTACAAATAACTCAACTAGTGAACCTCACGACGTTAACATTAGACTATAATAATATAGATTCGCTTCCAGCGGAAATAGGTAACTTAAAGAACCTTGTGAACTTAAATATTAGTTACAATCCTTTAAAAGTTTTGATACCTGAAATTGGCGACCTAGAGAACTTGGAGGCCTTTTGGTGCAACAGGATAGGCTTAAGAGAGATCCCAAAAGAAATTGGAAAATTGGAGAAACTAGATACATTTGGAGCAAGAGGAAATGAGCTTAAAACTATACCTGAGGAAATGACCAAACTTTCGCGATTAAGGTGGACATATTTTATACATTTTTAATAAATCATAGCTCAAGTCTAATAATTAATTTTCATTGAAATTGATTTTTAACTCTTTACTTGTGTTTATAGATGGCTAACTCTAGAGAATAACTTAATAGAAACTCTACCAAACACAATGGATAGGATGGAGACACTTGTGCACTGCAACCTGCGGAACAATAGGATCAGAGAATTCCCTGAATCTGTGCTCCGTTGCTCTGAGCTCATGTTCCTACAACTCAATAACAACGAGGTTAGTGTTCGAGTACACACTCCTTATTATACTTTTATTACTATTAACGTTAGAATGATAGCTAATTAGGGGTCTACTGTTGGTAAATATAAGACACATGGCAACACAACCCCATAAACAAACCTAATTCTAATTAATGTTTATTATATTTGATTAATTTTGCATTCACAATACTTTACTGAAAAATATTTGTAATGAAAAATTATTAAAAATCCACTTTGTCCCTGGTACTCTGAGATGGGATTCGAACCTATGACCTTTCGCAATCTGGGCGACTGCTTTAACTACTGAGCTGCCCAAGACTGAATGATTTTTCAAGCACTTGTTACTTTTTGGCTACTACAATAATACTAATTAATGTTTTTCAAATTATAAAAGTGAAATTATTGAACTGAAGTTATGATTGCCTTTTACTTGAAACTTTTTGGTGTACGTTTGTATTAATAAGTTTACTGTTTTTTTATATTAATATTAATACGCATACTGCATGGCCATAGGTGTCTTATAAAGATAATGTATAGTCAAAAGCATGTCAAGTTACTACAAAAAGTTATATTTTCGCAACAATGTTAAGACAATCAGCTTGTGGTTAAGTTAAAAATAATTTCAAATTTTGATGTTTTAAATGTGCTGCTGTGAGTACTATGAGTAATGATACAAACAGTTCATTGATTGATTACATTCAAATTATCTCAATTTCATTGAATTATAAAAAAATTACAAAGCATTCTGTGTTGTTATTTTGTATGTAAAAAAATTGCTACAATACTTAATTTTAAGAACGAATAATGAGTGTATTAAACTTTTATCTGCCCCTGTTATCATTTTGTTTATTATTTGGATGTTTCGCCATTTTTGTTTATAACTGTATTCATAAGAATATATAGTTTTTGTATCACATCCAAAAGTACAAAGAATATATTTGCATTGCTTCAATATTTCATGAAGAACTTTCAAGGTTTTAAATTATGTCTTATTTTGTAAATATATTATTAAATTTATTTTCACATACTATGTCTTTACAATGCTTAGTAGCAGTGGCAGATTTACCAGCAGGCTGAGTAGGCTAGAGCCTAGGGTGGCAAATTAGACCCATTTTTTAATGTATATTATTTATACACTTTATTGCACTACAAAGTAAGTGTATGGAAAGTAAGTGTATGGTATCTTTGTTCTATTGCACAATGTGCAATAGAATAGAGATCTTGCCATACCGAATACTCTTATGAATGTAATTCCTATATGAACGATCTCTAAACGCTCTGTATAATAGTGACATATTTATTTTACATTTAAATATTTATATTCTACTAGGTACGTATGTATTTACGTAGTCGTTTTGAGTTGCGGCATGGGAACAAATGAATTATTATAAAGTCTTTCTGTATTCCTGTGAAAACAGAGTTTGGAGAACTTTTATACAAACTTCATACTTTGTTTTTATGAACATCTTAATACTACTTTGTGGAATGCATAAAAATAAATAACAAAAGAAACTTGGATATAGCACTTCGCATGGCTCTATCATCATCATCAGCCCTGTTACGTCTCAACTGCAGGAGCTCAGACTTTCCTTATGGATGTTTAAAGACGATGAGCCATGATCCTCCACATGGGCCTAATACAGATTGGATGATATTAACGACTGCAGACGCAGCCGGACCAACGGCTTAATGTGCCTTCCGAAACACAGAGTAGCTCGAGATAAAAATTTTTTGGTCACCATAGCTCTATGGATTGCGAAAGGTCGTAGTTTCAAATCCCATCTTAAAGTACTGGGACAAAGTCGATTTTTTAAGCATTTTTTATTAAGAATATTTTCCAGTGAAACATTTTGGAATTTGTCCACTTTCAATACATTGATTGACCTGTCACATGTTTTTTTTAAAGGTCGCATCTACCCACCCTTAGTGATCATTAAAATTAGTGTGATAATTTTTGCATATAATAGAATAATAGACGTCATGGGTCCGAATCGCATTGGGGTAGTGTACCAAATCGTCATTTTAAGGTCCGAATCGCATAAGTTATCATAGTACTATTTAAAATTAACTATCAGCTTCGCAATTTGAGACTTTATTTTAGATTTAATTTCCCGATATGAAAAAAGTAAAAATAAGCTATTTTTATTGATTTTTTGATGTCACATCACTAGACGCGTAAAGGGTTTAGCCGGATACGTATGACGAGTCGGCCCCCAAATGGGAATCGATATTGAAACTTATGTTTTAATATAGACTTGATGTTCAAACACGATTTATGTACTTTTCGCGACCGACTTCCGCTTTGACCTTGAGATAGAGAGCAAAATATCCGTATGCTTGACTATTACTGAATGTGATATATCTCTGAAGCTAATTAAGATAGAGAAGTGAAACTAACGCGAGGTGTTAGGTTACATTACAGAGTATATCACATATATTTTTTTATAATTTTTAGAATAAAAAATTACATTAAAAAAATAAAAAATAAAAAAATAATGTTTTTTTTTCTGAGTTCTCTGTGACTTACAATCACGAAATTAATATATGTTATGCTCCTTTGTGTGCTCTATCACCCATAAAAATTGCGTGAAAAAAAAGTTGGTGCAACACAACGAAAAAAAATTATATGTGATTCGCGCCTTGTAGTGTGAGTGTATAAACAAACAAGTTCGAACTTGTTATCGCGCTGTTTACTGCATCGTTTGTTTAGCTAAAGTCGCAGTCATTTGTATTACACAAGAAGGCAGTTTGGGACTCAAATTCTGTCATAGGTATTTTGTGTCAGCATTTTGAAATTATTAACTATCGACCCAAATCATTATTAAGTAATAATGTCGAGAAAGTGTAAAAATTGTAACAAGTACCTGTGTAAGATTCCTGGTTATAAAAAAATTATAAAGAATGAGGAAGAAGCTAAAGTGTTTAGTGACTGTTTGAATAAAATCGTAATAGTTAATGATATTTTTTGTAAGAAGCGTCGACATATCCCATATATTAACAAAAAAGCTTCTACTTCTAAATGTGCAGCATTTAACTTGGCCGAAATAATGGACGATCAAAATAATCTCTCAGTACAATATGTGAAATCAGCACCTAATATCATCAAAGCAGAAGTAAAATCAAGACATATAAATAGAAAAGTCTATCGAATTTACATTCACTATATTTCCGAAGGTAATGACTACAATAGTATTCTTCGTTATTGCTGTGATTACCCCAATGGCGAACGTACAGTGGGATGCTGTTCTCATGTAGCAGCTATTATTTATTATCTATCATATGGATGATATTTGTCCAAAATCGTACGTCCTGCTGAGGTCCTAACTAAGTTATTTGCGACTCAAAGTGTTCCGATTGTAATTAATTACAACAGTGACGATGATTAATATTTTGTTTCTTGTATTTTGATAGACACGAAAAAGTAATAATAATAAGTATTGAACACTGGCTGTTTTTTTTTCATTTCTTTTTTAACTATTATCCCATCTCTTAAGACTATTTACTTATGTTTTAAAACAAGCTGATGTGAAATTTCGAAAAAAAAAACAATGATGTAATGTGAAAACCTTATAATACAGGGGTATACCATAAGACAGAAATCACATAAAATTTTTTTTCGTTGTGTTGCACCAACTTTTTTTTCACGTAATTTTTATGGGTGATAGAGCACACAAAGGAGCATAACATATATTAATTTCATGATTGTAAGTCACAGAGAACTCAGAAAAAAAAACATGATTTTTTTATTTTTTATTTTTTTAATGTAATTTTTTATTCTAAAAATTATAAAAAAATATATGCGATATACTCTGTAATGTAACCTAACACCTCGCGTTAGTTTCACTTCTTTATCTTAATTAGCTTTAGAGATATATCACATTCAGTAATAGTCAAGCATACGGATATTTTGCTTTCTATCTCAAGGTCAAAGCGGAAGTCGGTCGCGAAAAGTACATAAATTATGTTTGAACATCAAGTCGATATTAAAACATAAGTTTCGATATCGATTCCCATTTGGGGGCCGACTCGTCATACGTATCCGGCTAAACCCTTTTTAATCAATATTGGACATGATTGTTTATCTACTAACTTACTAAGGAGAAATATTGATAAATATAGCGTCAGTTGATGCGCCCCTATGGGTGGGTCATGCTTATTTGATTTAATGGCATATATTCTGTGTGTACCAATCATTAGATTCCTTTTATTTTAGTTATCAGGGAATAAAAGACAAAAACCATAGGACCTTGTTTTAATATGATGTACTTAAATCTAGATAAATAAAGTATTATTATATATTTTACGTATCTGTGTTTAAAGTACGCATAATAGAGAGATGATGACTAAGTTTTGTTTGTCTCAGCCAGTTGCACAAACGTCCATTAAAATTTATTTATATATATTTTATAATCATTGCTTTAAAGCGACATTACCCATACAAATTGACATTCATTAGAGCTTAAAATCGTCTTTAAACCTTAATGGAAGATTGTGCAACTGACCGTCTGTCGGGTAAATTGTTGAAGAATATTAAATACGTGTTTTTTGCGCACATAATTATGACGTTGAATTGAGTTGAAATGTCGCGTGATGTCGCCATTTTTGGATAAATTGAAGCGAAATAAAAATACATATCTAATATTTTTCTATTAATTAACTGACAGATTAAATAGAATTTCTTCTTTATCATGCATCATCTCTATTCTTATAATACTATTTGTTTTGCCGTGACATCGTCCACGTAAAAATTAATGCATTAAAAAAAAGTATAGCGTATGTTATTCACGTATCATAGCCTATGGGAAGCTAAAGATTTTTTTTTTTAATTATTCCAGTAGTATCAGAGCCTATTAATGCAATCTAACAAGCAAATCTTTGTTCCTTATATTATTAGTATAAATTATTGATTATTTTTATGAAATAAGTTATTATTAAATTTATGAGGTCATAGATCACTCGATATGCTTCCAAGGACAAGTAGTCTATAGTCCACCAATTAAGAACTACTGAGCTAGTACTTATGTTTAAGGTATATTTATTTTTGCAATCCATGTCCATTCTCGTCATTTCATATCAACATATTTCTATTGGAAGGTTCATATCTCACTGTTAATTGTTTTACAGATATCGTTTTTACCTGACGACTTCAGCACCAGTTTCTTATCTTCACTTGAGATGATTGATTTGAGGCAAAACCCTATATGTGAACTGTCCCATCCAGTAAGTTATGTAAAATTACATTAGTGCATATTCGATTGTACCACAATGTAAATCAGAGTTTGTTTTTATGTTGCCACAAAATATAATTGGAAGAACATTTAATTGACTTTCACAAAGAATTTCCAGATTCTATTCTTGGTCATATCAATGTAGAATGTAGAAAACTAACTTTCCTATGCTATTAACGTTCTGGGTTGTTGTTAGCTTGTAATTCTTAGCTTTGTGTTACTTTGCTTTGGATACGATTAGTTTGTGATCTAAAAATCGTACCGTACCGTAATTTTAATTTCTTGAACAAAAAAAATAAATATCTAAAATATTTTTATAATATAAAGTAATTAACTGTAGCAATAAAATAATAATTTGACCAAATATAGAAACTAATTCAAAGCAATAACAAAATGAAGTCGTAATTCTAAATAGAATGATATTCCAGTTGTTATAAACTGACAAATGACGTCACTCTGTGAGGTCCTCCATAGTAGCCATAATGAATTTATATCAATCGCGTCACAAAATAGTGGTGTTAAAGGGCAAAAAGAAAACCCTGCGCAGAAATTATATACATTATTTTATCACTATTTACTTATATTCATGCATTTTGTGCTCACTTCCGTATGAAGTAATTTATATAAATAAGGATATTAGACAATATTGTATAAACCTGATATTCAGCCTGTTGCACAAACGTCCAATAAAATTGTCATTAGTTAAAGCGACGTTACCTATACAAATGTAATTCATGGGTGCTTAAAAGCGTCATTAAACCTTAATGGGCGTTTGTGCAACTGAACGATTGTCTAATATCCTTATTTAATAATATTATGCATAATTTATTTATACACATAAACTCACCTCAATACACATATTAACCATTATTGTAGTGCGATATAATTTATATATATATATGTATTTTCGTCTAATACTTACATTTTTTTTGTTAACTGCTCTCATTATGATTAATTAATTAATAAGTGTTCTAAAATTAATAAGTCTCTCTAATTAGCGTCAATGCTGACTTACTTATTTTTGTATTGAAATAACAAAACTTCTATTGAAACTTTGTTGTATGAATAAATAATAATTTATGAAGGAGCACCACCTAGTCCGGTACTCAGATGAGATACCAACAGCGGATGGTACAGGAGAAGTATCGTCGCAAGCATCCACTGGTAGCCGCCAGGGGGCGCAGGCGTTAGCTATCAACGCGACGGCGCTCCGGTTGCCCGCAGTGCCCGCGCCGAGACATGCCGACCCAATGGCCATAGGTATGTTATATCACCGAGGAAAAGAGATGACCCGAAATTTCCCCATTATCGTTTCATGTTTGAATATAAAATAAGCACACACAAAGACTTATTAAGAATATAATGACAAAACATAGGCATAATTTGCATTTTTAATGCAAAATATAGAAATTTCCTGTTCAATGAGTTTGAGAATAAGATTTATAATAAAGATAAATAATCCATTGATTGCTGAAAAAATGCTGAAGAATTTTTAGTAATGATTCGAGACTTATTATGAGCCTATTAATTTTCCCACTGGTGTGGTACAAGCCGACACGCAGGCCCATCATCATCATCTGCCTTTTTACGCCCCCACTACAGGGGCTCAGGCCTTCCTTATAGTTGGTTAAGGAGAACAGACCATGACCCTCCACTGGCCCAAGGCGGATTGGAGAGTATTAACGACTGCAAATGCAGCCAGGACTAACGGCTTAGCGTGCCTTCCGAAGCACGGAGCAGCTCGTTATAAATTTTTTTTCGGTCACCCATTCCGTGACAGACCTTTGCGAAAGTTGCTTTACAACAACGATCACGGGCCGCAGCGCTTATCCGCTACGCCACCGAGCTACGCAGGCCCAACTGGGCCTTAATTCTAAATTTTAACTAATAATTGTATCTCAACTACAGGTATTTGCCATTGTACTGTTGCACCTTCCTGAAGTCCATTATTATTAGTGCAATGTCTTCCTCACAAATAACAGATGACAGATATATATATATTATTGTTGTGCCGTAGTAACACGGACTGTGTCATAAACGGTTTTAGTCTAAGCGCTATCGACTTTCTATAATTACGCTAATGTTGGCAGAATAGGGATGATGCCTGTGTAAAAAAAAACTTCAATCAGTTAGTTAGATAATTGAAAAATATTAGATACGTATTTTTTTGCTTTAATTTAACAAGAAATGGCTTAGATAATATGCATCAAAATTGAGGAGTGGGGGCTCATTACGTCACAACTATGTAGAAAATGTACAAAGGTGTAAAGTCACGTGACAATTCAACTCAATGTACCATAATTTATTGATTACGCAAAAAATAATATGGTACGTATTTAATATATTTTAATAATCTACCCGACAGACAGACATACAAAAATTACTCATCATCCGTTTACCTAAAAACCTTAAGCATGAATAAAGGCGTTCTAAAGACTTTAGGATATGAAGAAACCTGTATTCCCCGTTCTCCTTCCTGTAACTTCCTGTATCCTGTGTAGCCACTAACGAGTTGACCGTGGACGTGGTGACGATGCATATGCCCGCCGGTCCTGCCCCGAGGCAGGAGCCATTTGCCATCGGTACGTTGGTATGGAAATATTCCCAGAAACTCGATCAAGTTTCCTAGTAGTTGTACGGTCAGTTGCACAAACGTTCATTAAGGTTTTATGACGCTTTAAAGCTCTAATGAATGTCAAATTTGTATGGGTAATTTCACTTTAAACTAATGAAACATTTAATGGACGTTTGTGCAACTGGCTGATAGTGTAGAAAAATATTATGATTATAAGTCGTGGACGCCTGTTTTGCTGTCGTTACCAGTAATTTATTCTCATAGTTATTTAAACTGGACTATCCAGTCAAAAATGTAGCATAGTTTGTAGTTATCTATTGTAAAAACAGTAGTATTATAATTACTTATACCACACAAATAGCAAATTCCTTGCGAGTTATAACGTGATACCAAGTTCACTGCTGCAAATCTTTACATTTTTTTAGTAACGGTCAATGTATAACGAAACGCGTCTAATGGGGAAGGCAATTGTTAAATGGCGCTGCCGCAGCTTTATCCTTAAAGACATAAAAACACAAAAAGAAAGATAACATAAGTCTCGACTCTTAGTCGGTAAAACAGTTTCTTCAACGATATCTCTTAGTTTTAAATAATATTAGGAAGAATAAGGAAGTAATAAAAAAAATTTGATGAGTTCGAAACTTAGATATCAATACAAATAGACAATGAGTTGTTTATTGAGTTTTGAAAACTAATTTACTTTTAAACATGAAAGAAAACCGGAAAGGTTGTCATGGAGAAATCAAGAACGCTACGGTACGTATGGTACGGTACGAATACTACGGTGCGACATCTAGTTTAATTTGGGGAACTAAATTTTTTTTTAATACTTCCTCATTACATGTGTGCTTGACTTGATGTCTAATGACTTTAATGATAAATGTTATAATTGATTAGCTGTTTCTTTCTGTGTTGCTTATTTGACTGGGTTCGTCCAAGGCAGAAGCTACTAAAACGCCATCTGCGATTAGTTTTGACCGGCAATCGCCGTTTACGCGTAGTACTGGATAAATTCAACGTATGAATTAAACTATGTCTCACTCTCAGCTGAAATGGACTTGGATGCGTCATCTGTGGAGTCGTCTGAAGACTGGGAGAATAGTGTCAATAGCTCAGAGCTGGATGTTCAGTACCAGAGCGATGAGGAACGAGCCGAGAATGAGGTATGTTCTCATAATATTCTAAAGGATAGACGCGTACGCGTATATACGCCTTTACCTTATTTTTTACACGCCATTATGGTACGCAATAGCTATTATAGCGTGACAGGTACATTTAAAATTATATTTTAAAAGCGTATCTATTTTGTGACATGCCTGAAGAAATTGAAATAATTTTTTTTCGTAATAAAAAAAGTCTACTCTCTACCTGATCGAAGTCATCTGAACTCATCTGAACAGATCAGATCTGACCTCAGAGATGGTGACATCTTAAAACTAGTTGGTGAGCCGCTTGACGTATTGAAATAAAAATAAATGTTATGTTTATTTTAATGCTAGCTTTCCTACCGCGTGTGGAATTCTTTAGCCAATTTTTCCTATGTTCATATGTCCTTTTATTACCATCTTATCTCCTTTCCTAAGGCCTATACTACTTGTTTAATAGATTTCATGAAAATTGGTTCAATTATTTAGGTGTGAAAACGTAACATACATACAATGTTACTTTCGCATTTATTATAGTTATAATATATTAGTATTGATATAGTAAACAAATGTAGGTATATCAACAAAAGTAGGTCGTTGACCTCCAAGAACAGTATAACTATAAGTAGCAACATGTTTATAGAATTTTTTTTTTCTGTATATCCGATGTGAGAAAGTTAAAAAAGAAAAAAAAGCATAAGTTTGTGAGTTACGAATAATATTAATATAGTGTACTGATTACATTTTTTTCACTGAGTCACTTGGCTACTCTTTGACGCGACGTCGTCAATTTGGAGGTTTAGCCGCTACTGACGTCACGCTAGGAGTCGGGAGATTGACTTATTGGTTAAGTTTGGCTACTTATATATACAAATGTAACCTCCCTCAGTCCTGTTCTTCAACGTGGTTGACAACCCTAACCCTATTTTTACCCTAACAGTGCATTTTCATATGCCACTTGGCTTTAAAGAAATCCTATCCCATCCATTATCCCACCCCGCATTTTCCTCCCATCGGACGGTGTCGTAAACAAGCTCATGTTAGATCGCGCAATTCTTGCAGGCGGTCGGCATGGTGTTGCCAGAACTGTCCCGGTACGCTTCTACTGCGAGTTGAACCACAGACAAATGCAGAACGACTACTTCACTATTGAAACCGCGTACTCACTTCGAACGCACAAGTTATATTAACATTTTTATATAATGAAATAAATGTTATAACTTGTTATCATAAAATGTCATATCGGATTTTGACTTAATATTCATTATTATAAGGTTTATAACCAAAAGGGAATATTAAGCAAGGCTCGGAGTAGGTGGCAGCACTAGCAGACTTAGTAGACAAAGAAACATTTTCGAACATTTTGTCTTTTGAGATGAATGATTCTCTTCCTTCTTATATCCAAATATGCAGTAATAGTTTATTATTAGATAAAATTATGATTTTTAATTAAAAATTAAAAAAACTGTTAATGCCTACTATACTCACTATGACTTTACCCTTTGCTCACTGTTCTATGGGTAACGTCTGATATTTATAAAAAAAAACTGTTTAGATTCTGTCTCACGAACGAAGTCCCGCGGCATAAATCTTATTCCTTTTTTAATAAAAGCGAAAACTGCGAGGTACTTATTTCGCGAGACAAACTTTACTATTTGTGCTAGTGCTGCTGGTGATAGATAGATCCAGTAATACATCCTATTGGAGACATTTGGCAGCTGTTTTTGATAGAATTATATGCTTTAATTGTTCATAAGATCCAAAATGTGAAATAGAGTAAATGACCAAAATATATGAAATATTTGTATATTACCAATTAAACGATAAGTCGAGACCTCAGTACAGTAACACCCAACTAACATGGTGTGGAGTGAACTTTGGTTTGCGTAGATTGAACCTTATTTCAACTAATATAAGTTGTAAATTATATAAGTTTTTGTCCGTCTCACTCACACTCGGCAGGTACAGACAATGGCGGGTTAATTGAAATCATTCTGATTGGTCAATACTTGGCCTGCTATATAATTAAACATTCAGAGCAGGAACATCAATAAGCTATATATGAGTTGTGTTTTATTGTACTGTAAATCTGGATTTTAAGGTTCATTTTCTTGTTGCAGTCTGAAAGATAGTGTATTCCTTTAACAGTGCATACTATTTTCTACATCTTAAAAAGTAGTTTGCAGAATTACTTGTATATTGTTAGCGATAGGTTTCTATCAACAAAATTTACACACATATAGTTATAATAAAACATTGCCACAATGATTTAAGGTTTAAAATACAATGGAGAAATTGAGCAGTTTGTGGAACATGTGAATATTTTTTTATTATTATACACAATTTTCTATATAATTCCTTTAGGTTGCAATTAGAAATTACCCTTATATTAAGTAATAAATAATCAGTAAAGACTTGACAGTTCTTAGATAGTACTTTTCTATTATGAATTTATCATTTGCTGTTTTTTAAATATAAGTCGTTCAATCTCATATTGAAAAAATAATATTTTGAACTTATTAATCGGTAAAATAAATTATAAACCATTCCTTTTAACACAAGAAAACTTGTATGAATTATGCAATATTTTTGTATTAAGAAAAATATCAGAAATAATCAGTTTCAAAATATACATTATCCATTATTTGTATAGTTAAAAATAAAATAGATACAGAAGTTTCTGAGTGTTTTGTTAGACATTTTTTGTCTTATTTTTATTATAAACATTTTATAAATAAAAAAAATTTTTTTTTTCATATTCACTATTTAAATTATTATACATATCTACGTATAATATCGTAACTACGTCATACTGTTAATTGTTTCATTATACCAATCAACGCGGTACAACCAAATATTATCAAACTGATATTAAAGAAGTCAAATTTCGTGGTACATAAAATTCATAAATTATTATACTTCAGAAATTTCAATCAATCGTTTGCAGTTACGATATTATACGTAGATGTCCAGTGTTTAACTGTTAAATGCTTGTATAAATTAATTATAATATTTAAAAGACATTTTACGAAATTGTTTAAAAAATTATTTGCCAACATTCTATACTCGATACCAACTGCTTAAAATTAAAAACAAAAAAAATATTGCCAGGTTAGGAATTAATTAGATTTTTTTACAATTCTCTAAAACACCTAAAATTTGTTAAGTCAAGGAAAGGGTATTCGAGTTTTATTATTATAATAACAATTAATCAAATATCGCAAATAGAACGTTTGTAAAATTTATTTGGCTTTCAATATTTATTTTTTCACTGATTAATGAATTAATTAGATAAGATACAATAATTGTTAATTTGTGAGAAAAAAATCGTTGTGCAATATAATTTCTGGTTCATATAGACCTATTAAATATTTAAGTTTGGCCTAATACACCTATAATAATTACTGTAAACAAATTTTCTATTTTTTAAATACGTATTTTATATTCATATAAAATAAAGAAATGTTTGATATATACATTTTTTTAAATATGATTTCATTTAGTTAGTTTACATCTAATATTGCTTATTTGACTTCAGTTGAGAAAAATAAAGAATGTATGTAGTCCTTATGCCCCAAATAGTGACAGTTCAGGAAAATGTCACTAATTTGGGATTAAGTGACGGTTTCTTAACCATTTTCTTGGTGGCAACCTACATTTTTTTACACGTAGTACACTTATATACACAAGTTATTATTCCAAAATGAGAGGAGTTTTAAATGTAACACCAAGAACGAACTGCTTATGTTATCTTTGTTACCCGTCGCTCAAGTAGTGACTGATTTTTACCCAGATATAAGTACTGGTATAATAAAAAAAATCTTCACCGTGATCTGTTTTACGATTTTTATTATATAAAAAATATTTATTTTGTTTATAGTTTTTTTTTATAACGCACAAACAAAACTATATATATATTTATATTTTATATGAGTATCACAGATAATATCGAATTGCAATTTCGCACTTAGTCTCAGTATCCACGTGCCAGCTCTATTTCCAAGGGTTAAACATATATTATTTGATTTTATATAATATGTTTTAATCTAAATTATCATTTTATAAATGAAATTCTATTCGATAGCGAATTTTATTAGAGTCAACTTGTCATAAATATAGCCAAAAACAAATTTGTACTATAATATATAATTTAGTTAATTGTGACATATGAAACTGAAATATATTCGGATTAATGTAAACGCTATTTTAAGTATGTTACAGCGTAGTTAGTTGAAAAAATATTGTTATCAATTGGAAAACTTTGATTGTGTCTAATTTAAGAAATTATTACACTATAAGCACATCGGATAACTAGAAAATGTCAAATTCTTCGTTCTTAACAATTGTCTTTGTACTTTACGGACGTCGCATTAAGGTTTAAAGTCCATTGAAGAAATTCGACAGTTGACAGTGTATAACCCGATATGCTATTTGTCTTAGTATTCGACGCTGATTATATTATCCAAACCATGAAATAACGCAATCTAAAACTTATCCATTAAACTGCAAACATTAGTTGTGTAATGTAAATATGATGATTATTTTTCTAAACTCGATCTATATTTTTAATAAATAATTTGTATAGGTCGTGAGTGCAAAGGTGAGTGTAAGCAAATCTCGATTGTCATGGGACAAGTTAGAGTTGCTTTCCCTGTATTATAACGGAAAAAATGTTGGTCGTTTTTATTTTAAATCAAATGTCACTTGACTCTTTATTTCAAGAAGAAACTACTGAATATTTCGCACGTAAAATACGTGCTTTTAATTATTACTGTAAAGTAGAAATTCGTGTGGCAAATATAATCGGCCTATAAAAGTATTTTATACTTTATAGACGTTAGGTGTATTGAGAATACTGTTTCTACGTCCGCGAAAGCGTCAAGGAATTATTATGGCGTGGAATTGGTACCGGTAATAGGGTATATACACGTGTGCGTGTTTTCACACAATCATAAATTGTCAATTAGATCTATATAATTTGCTAGAGCTAATATTTCAATAATGTACAAGGATTCTTTCGATAATGGGAATCCCAGATTTGTGACACTAAATCCTCTCAAATTCTAAATAACATGACCAACAAGGGCGGGAAATATCGCTGTTCCAATCCTTATAAGGGAACATAACAATAACCTAAATTACTTATTAAAAGTAAAAATATATATATATGTTTAAAATCGCAATGCTGCCTGACGAATGCATATGCCTAATTGACAAAATTAATTGTACAAGCCCAATGTGAAACATGGGTTTTGAAGCGTATGAAATAAGGTTTACTTTATACGTTTTGTGTTGACTAACACAAGGTGATGTTTAAAAATGAACCTTATGTTATATGTTCTAAAACATAATTTGAATATAATTTCAAGTTCATAATAATGTAATTAATAAAAGCGCAAACAATAGCGCATGCCAAACTTAACGTGATTGTTACGTTACAAATTTACAATGTACAGTCGACGTACGACGACGACGTACAGCACATAAGATTACTAAAAAGACAAACTTCTATTGTTTTTAAACCTTAATATGTTGGTATTTAAATTACAAATTGATTAAAGAAGTTTTTCTTTTGTAGTAACTGGTGCTGGTGTGTTTATATACTTTATTATTGACAGTATGCTTTCTATATAAATTAGATACGGAAATGCAGGTAATGTTAGATACCACTCGACGCAGTGTTCTATATATATATAAAAACTATTAAAATTAATTAATTATATAATATACATATTTAAAATTAATTTCATGCCTATAGAAGCATTATCAATAATTATTTACTGTTATTTTTTTTTCATATTTTTTTTTAATTAAGGCAGTATAAAGGTTGTTTAATAGAATATTGCTCATACAATAATAATCTTGATGTAACACAATAACAGAAACGTAATAAACGATTAAAAATCAAGGTTTTTTATTTTTACTAGCTTTGTATATTAACTTCAGCGTACAGACAGAGACCTCAGTCCACCTAGTAGACCACGGACACCTTTTCACCGGTAGTTCACCTAGGTGGACCATGGGCACTTTTGCACCGGTAGTTCACCTAGGTGGACCATAGGCACTTTTTCACCGGTAGTTAAGCTAGGTGGGCCATGGGCACTTTTGCACCGGTAGTTCACCTAGATGGACCGTGGGCACTTTTTCACCGGTAGTTCACCTAGGTGGACCATAGGCACTTTTGCACCGGTAGTTCACCTAGGTGGACCATAGGCACTTTTTCACCGGTAGTTTACTTAGATGGACCATGGGCACATTTTTCACCGGTAGTTCACCTACATGGACCACTAGTATTCTTTCTTGTCGGCGGTAATGTGTAAGAAAAAATACCCGTGGTTGACATAGGCGAACCAAGCAGGTGAACTTCCGTAATAACGAGATGAATTAAAACAAGTCGATACAAAAACAAATGCGTTTATTCTTCTATACTCTTTAAAAATCGTACAACATAACAAAACTCTTATAAATTAATAACAATAAATTATATTTAATTTAACAAAATAAGTTTTTTATTTTTTATAATTGTAGTAACTCTGTTGTACAATCTAGACATTATATAGGTGGTCTATACCTAAATATAGTCTAGTTAATGCGATCAAAATTTCAAAATCTAATTTTCAAACTGACTTTCAATTGTAAAAATA